CACCAGAATATACAACAAGAATCTAAGAATCAAAGTTCTGGATTAGATTAATTTATTCTACATCAGTACAGACTACAGGCATGGTTTCTCTGTATGCCACTGGTTGCTGAGGATCATGTGATCGGTCAAGCCCCCCTCTCATCCCCAGCGTGAATAACAAGTAGTAGATAGATCATCCTAAACGACAGCTGATCTAATGTAAAACCATTATTGGCTAGCATTAAATATATATTGTTATACTTTAGATAATAATGCAGCTGAATGGCGTCACTTCTGACAAATGTACCCCACTCTCCCTTAAACACCAGTCACGTTCTGAAATCTATGTACTTCAAAGCTATGTAGACCACTAATACAGACCTGGAGGTTAATTGATGATAAATAATCACAATGTAAATTGCAATCACAGTTTCATTCACTCATTTTCATCAAATTGTTGCCCTAATAGCAAGCACAGCCAACTGCAATCTTTCCCAGTAAAATATGTACAATCTCCCAGTTTAACCCGTCAAAATACTGACACACAATCAAAACCATGTTCTGACAAAAAAGAAAGAACAACTTAAAGCAGGAACTTCATGTCACTTCATTTTCAACAGATTCTTAGACACCCAGACAGTGAAGGGGTCCTTCTACTCATTTTACTGTGTGTACCTAGCACTTCCACCGTGTTGTTGCATTTGAGTGCCAGAGCGAGCTCGGATGCTCCATGGTGGTTGATTTGATTGTTGCGGAGGTCCAGCTGTGTCAGCACACTGTTGGAGGCCAAGCCCTCACAAAAGAGCGAGAAGGCTTCGTCCCACACCCCCAAAGCGTTCCACTCCAACACCAGCCTGCACACAGCGTTTATGAGTTTTAAGCATCTTGTGTTAATGGGCACACTGTTTAATTCTGTTGCAGCAGCGTCTGGTTATTTTTATGTTAAGAATCATGTTTAAGTTTCGGTTGAAAATCCTTTCTTAGAAGATAAATAAGTTATTAGTTGGCTTTAATAAAATGTAGTAGCAGTCAAGTTTGATTAGTAAATCTTTGTCTGAAGTCTAAGCTTCCAGCAGACATGACACAAAATGATTCTGTTTGGCTTCAACTTAATATGCTCAATTACTCAGATGTTTCTCAGGTCACTGGGCAAGGGGCAGACCAAGCAACCATCCAATTTAGGCAAGATTATTGGTTGAATTAAAATAGAAGATAAGTGCTGTGATTGGTCAGATCAATGTGGGCAACAGGGAAGTAACAGGTAATTTCAACTAGAGAAGCCTATACCAAACCTGTAATCACAGTACTCGATGTTTTAATGGGGTAGGCTGCAATGAGAGCTTGATGAACCTGCTCTTAAATTGACAGACCACACTACGTGCATTATTGCACGTATTACTTGTTGTTTGATGTTGGTGTTTTACAGTGATTGTAAAGCACTTGGTGAGTTGTATTAAAAAGTGCCATACAAAGAAAGCTATTATTATTATTATAATAATAATTATTATTATTACTTGCCTGATGACAAGTCAGGGGGCCCAACAGCAAAATTTTACCCCTAAGTGGTTAATTCAGCCATGGTTCCACCACTTACACATGCCTTTTGCACTTTTTTAACAGGCTGAAGTAAATACACTGCCAATATCAATAATAATAAAATAATAATAATAATAATTCAAGCATCTTACTGTAAAGAACCTACCAAATATCAACACCAGATGAAGTGTGAATCTGTAAATCTTACTTAATTTGTATGATTTGATCAAAAAAGGTCTGATTTATTACACTTTTTTACACAATACATGCCCCAGAACGTATTCTCACATGAAAAGCATCACTCTCACCTGCGCAGATACTTGTTACGTGCCAGCAGCTTTCCCAACACCTCAGCCCCTGTCGATCTCAGGTTATTCCCCTGTGAACAATATTTTGCATCAACTCGTTATCGATACTATGTATCATGAAATAAAATCCATTAGTGTCTGAGAATGTGGACAGTTTAGCAGGTGTTACCTTCAAATCCAGGACTTTTACAGTTGTGTTACCAAACAGTCCAGTCAGAAGTAACTTGGCACCTGAGAGTCACATGCACAAGTATAAAAGCACACACTGTTATTCATGACTTATTTGCATTAAATCCCATGTGCAGAGCCAAACCAACAACAAATGTATCTGAAGTCTGACTTATTGTATTGCCTTATTGTTATTATTTTTACTCAGTCCCACACACACCGTCCTCCAAATACTCACCAGAGCACCAGATATGAATTCATCTGCCACTAAAAACAGTTCCTAATATAGTATGTAATGTAGTATTTCCTCCTGTTTGTATAATGGTTAATAGAAACTATGGGATCTTAGTGAGCCTTTCCTATGCTTTTAAATGTAAATGTAAATGCTCCGTACTTGTATAGCGCCTTTCTAGTCTTTTCAACCACTCAAAGCGCTTTTACACTACATCTGCATTCACCATTCACACACATTCATACACTGAGCCTAAGTGCTCAAACGGAAACTAACATTCACACTCATTCATACACTGGCGGAACAGCCGCCAGGGTAAATCGGGGTTCAGTATCTTGCCCAAGGACACTTCGACACGCAACCAGGGGGAGTTGAACCGCCGACCTTGCGATTAATGGCCAACCTGCTCTACCCGCCCAAAGCTTAAAGCTTTATATCTTCAGAAGGAACCAATGGGCTTGGGGCTGAGAGCCACAGATAGGCACAAAAGTCCTAAAGTATTGAGTATCAGACTAACACATCATTGGTTTTGGTCAATGCATGGGATTTAATGATAATGAGAAAAACAACTGAATGATGTAATCTTTAACTTTTAAAAGTCAGACAAATTAAAATGTTTCAGATGAGTTTGCAGCAGCAACTTCAGGCAGACTCAGGCAGCTTTCGGTGACTGGTAACAAGCTGCACACTGCAATGACTTCTCTTGCCAGAAATGTGCCTTTTTTAATGGCCAGGTATTTGCGCAAACTGTTACATCAGTCAAGGTTATTAATCTGGGAAATCAAAAGATGTCTAAAGCAAATATAGCATTTATATGAATGCTAACTGACACCTACTGTTAGACTGACCAACTTAAAATCTAAAACACCAGGCTACATATAGGCTGTTGTTGATCTTCAGACTTACACACCTTCCTCACTGAGCATGCAGTCACTGAGCAAGACTTCTGTAAAGGCAGTATCTTTTTGGAAAGCCTTGGCCAGCACACAGCAGGTATCTGTAGACAGGCTCTGTCCACTCAGGTCCAGTCTAGAGCCCTGAACAGCTCTGCTTTCCCGTAGCTGAGCCACAACACTCTCCTGAGGCTCCACACCTCCCTCCTTACACAGACACAGGTATGTCTGCCTGAAGTCCTCCATTCTGGGTTACCAGAATCTCCTTATCCTCACTGTCTTTACTTCTTCTTTCTTTCCTCTGTGACTTGTCCTGTTAACTGGAGACGAAAAGATTTACAGACTAGGGATGAAATTAGATAAATGATTGTACAATAAGAAACTATTTTGATAACAGATAAAGTCTTCAAGTCATTTTTCAAGCAAAAATGCCAAACATTCGCTGGTACTAGTGAGGATTCTCTGCTTGTTTAAAATCTGAATGCCTTTGGGTTTGGGACTGTTGGTTGAACAAGAGATTTGATGACATCACCTTGGCCTTTAGGAAATCATGATTGGCATTTCTTATGGAGCAAATGTTTTATACATGAACTGAGAAAATAAGTGACATTTTATTCGATTTTGAGAAATGAATTGTTTATTGTAGCCCTATAACTAACACAGTGTTTAGTAAAATCATGGTTCTTGCAGAAGTGAAAATTAACTTTACAGGACACGGGCAACACCATTCTAATGATTCCAACTTCATCAAGTACATCCAAACTGCACCCCAAAGGGAATTCTCTCTGCTAGACTAGTGTTTTAATCATGTAAAGTGGAAGTGGATGCATGAGGACTAAAGTCAAACAGCAGTAATCAGCTGCCTGTGAGGCCAACCTGTGTGTGGCAGGTGCTTCCTAAATACCGGGTTAACCAACCAAGAGGAAAAATTTTATTAGGAACATAATACATGGTTGTGTATCAGGTACAGACTTGTTAGGCACTGACAGTCACTGTAATGGACATCTAGGCTAATCATTAACCCACAACATCTCTGTTCTAACCTAAACCCAGCTAACGTTAGCAGTTTATAGTGCATCCTACCTGGGAAACACAACGAAAAGAACTGATTGGCTGGTTATTTGAGCGCTAACATGAGCTAACTTTAGTTGGCGGAAGCAAGCAGTGTGACCCAAAAGCATAAAATTCAATTAATTAAATGCGGATTGATGGAATCACATATGTGCCGAATCAGAATAGGGATGTTTTTTAGAAAATTAAGTTTTATTTGTTTTATGTGTTGCTTGGTGATAAGCTAGCTAAAATTATACTGCCAAATTTTGAATGACAGTGCCGCGTATCATTATCGTCCATCTAGTTAAGTTAAGTTAACGTTACCCCACGGGAGTCAAAGCCTCGTGCAGGATTATCAAATGCCTGACGGACGTGCAGAGTAAGAAGTCTCTGAGGAGGTTTTCCTGAAAAATAATAATGTTGTATAAAGAAAAAATAAACACAGACCTCGCCGACTACAGTATGAACATCTTCCTAGCAGTTACTGTTGTTGCAGATAGCCCAGCTGACAGGAAGCCAAGCGACACAGTAACTAGGAAGTGTATTTTTGGCGCAAAGCATCTTGGTCAGTGTAGTTTCAGAAAACGTGAGCATTTTTCAACCATCTAACATCGTCCTGGTTGAGCATAACCAACGGCTAACTAAAGCTACAATTAATCAGCCTTTATCAGTAAAAAAGGGGGCATGATGTCATGTTGTATCGTTGTGTTATTTTGGCTTGGAGCCCAAACAGGAAATACTAACTTGCTGATCCAGCAGATGGCGGAATACCAAAAGGGCTCGCTTATCTGCAGTCGGCAGCACAACAAGTAGAGGAAGAATAATATTGGCCGAAGAAGAATAAAACAAGCATGGCAGGAAACATAAGCAGCGCTGCAGCTCCGATAACTAGTTCTCTATCTAAACTACAGGCTTTAAATGGACTGTTTGCAATATATAAAAAACAAGGGCCGACATCTGCAGACGTGTTAAATGCACTCAAAGAAGCTTTACTCAAAGGTAAAACGAGCATAGCAATCAGGATATAAGTCGACTTACACTATCAAGTGACTTATATTTTCATTTGTTGGAGCTGATAGTGAAATGTGTTTGTGTCACTTGTCTCTCAGAAGCTGGAGTTCAAAACCCAAACCCGCGGAAGAGGAAGAAGCAGAGCCTGAAGATGGGGCACGGAGGGACGCTGGACAGCGCTGCCAGTGGGGTGCTGGGTAAGCGTCCCGGTTCCATCCAGCTGCAGGCCTACTCATTTTTTCCCCCTGGTTGTAGTGGAGCAGTTTTCTTTATTAAAGGAAAATTCCAGCCAAACACGTAACCTGTTACAAATAGCCACTGCTGATGTACCGTTATACTGACCGTGGGCACAGGTTTGGTTTCAAAGGTGGTAGGGATGTAAGGATGAGGAGACCATGCCATTAAGACCCCACGCATATCAGAGGGGGAGAGTTTTATTTACAAAAAAATTACATTTGCCTGCTGTAAGCTGTCAACAAGGTGTTAAATGATAGGTTCACATTTTTTCAGGTCTGTCTTAAAACACTGACAACCCGCCCTTGTTTGTTTGCATCATTCATCCTGCCCGAATTCATGCCCCAAAGAGACCCCTTATCTTAAAGGAATTCTAATGTAAGCACTGGGGGGCTAAATCCACCGTCCTATTTTTGTGATAACAATATTCTAATGTTCGGCCGAAGCTAAAATCAAGTTCCAAAGTTAGTCTTTTAAGTACGAAATTCACACTTTTTGTTACTGTACCTGCACCAATGAAATACTGTCTGTGGAAATGCAAAGAGTGAATTTGGTATTAAAAAGACTAACTTTGGAAGATATTCATTTGATTTGACTAGCTGAGACTGCTGAAGCCTCATAATCGCTTTGGTTGAACTTAAGAATTAATTTTACACAAGACTAGGGCTGCGGATTTGTTCTCCATCACTTACAATGAAATCACTTTTGAAAGGGATCTCTGTGCAGTCAAATACACAGCAGGCAGAGGCCACTACTGGTAAGACTGTAAAATTAGCAAAATCATCAGTGTGGTGTTTGGTCACATTTTTATCATTGGGTGTGATGAATATCTCCACCTCTTGGGTCTGCTATCAGGACATTAGACTCTTTACACTGTCTCTGTTTCTTTCAGTTGTTGGCATTGGGAATGGCACAAAGATGCTCAGTACAATGTTGGCTGGTTCTAAGGTGAGTTATGTGAACAAGAGCTAAATTATCTAAATTGCGAAATTGGTCTGCTTAAAAAGAATGTGTGTTTCCATTTTGACATTTCTGTTTATTATAAAACCATACAAAACACCAACAACAAAGATCTATAAATGAGTTAGAAACATAATACAGATTTGATGAAAGCTGTGGAACAATTTGATCTTGTAGGTTAGTACTGTCCAGACAGCTGTGTCCCTGTAGGATGTGTTGAGTAGCTACAACAGAATGTACAGGCCACTTTATTAGGTACACCTGTTCAATTGCTTGTTAACACAAATAGCTGATCAGCCAATCACATGGCAGCAACTCAATGCATTTAGGTATGAAGACATGGTCAAGACAACTTACTGTTGAAACCGAGCATCAGAATGGGGAAGAAAGGAGATTTCAGTGACTTTGAACATGGCATGGTTGTTGGTGCCAGACGGGTTGGTGTGAGTATTTCACAAACTGCTGATCTGATGAAAAAGAAAAAATATCCAGTGAGCGGCGGTCGTGTCGATGAAAATGCCTTGTTGCTGTCAGAGGAGAATGGGCAGAATGGTTCGAGATGACAGACAGGCAACAGTAACTCAAATAACTACTCGTTACAGCCAAATGTGTGCAGAACACCATCTCTGAACGCACAACATGTTGAACTTTGAAGCAGATGGCCTCCAGCAGCAGAAGACCCCACCGGGTGCCACTCCTGTCAGCTAAGAACAGGAAACTGAGGTTAAAATTCACAAAGGCTCACCAAAACTGGACAATAGAAGATTGGGAAAAATGCTGCCTGGTCTGATGAGTTTCGATTTCAGCTGCGACATTCAGATGGTAGGGTCAGAATTTGGAGTGGACAACATGAAAGCATGGATCCATCCTGCCTTGTATCAACAGCTCAGGCTGGTGGTGTGGGGGATATTTTCTTGACACACTTTGGGTTCCTTAGTACCAACTGAGCATCGTTTAAATTGTTGCTGACCACGTCCATCCCTTTATGACCACAGTGTACCATCTTCTGATGGCTGCTTCCAGCAGGATAATGCTCCATGTCACAAAGCTCAAATCATCTCCAACTGGTTTCTTGAACATGACAGTGAGTTCACTGCACTCCAGTGGCCTCCACAGTCACCAGATCTCAATCCAATAGAGCCCCTTTGGGATGTGGTGGAACGGGAGATTTGCATCATGGATGTGCAGCCGACCAATCTGCAGCAACTGCGCGATGCTCTCATGTCAATATGGACCAAAGTCTCTGAGGAATATTTCCAACACCTTGTTGAAAGTATACCTTGAAGAATTAAGGCAGTTCTGAAGGCAAAAGGGGGTCCAACCCAGTACTAGCACGGTGTACCTAATAAAGTAGTGGATGAGTGTATGATAAGATAAAATCAGACTAAAGTTGTACAAAGTCAGGAATAGTGTTGTAGTCAAGACCGCCCAAACCGAGACCAAGACCAGAGTTTATCGAGACCGAGACAAGACCAAGACTTTTAGGGGCTGAGAGCAGTCGAGACCAAGACAGAGGGAGGGCGAGACAGAGTCAAGACCAAGACCAGTTCCCTGCATCACGTGGCACGCAATAAAATGTGAAATGAGATCATACTTCTCAAAGTGATCTGAAAGATCCACTTTCCCATTAAAACACCCACATACAAACACTAAGAGCTGAAATCAGTGTAAGCATCGCAGGGAGAGGTGACAGTCGTTAACGGTAACAACATGTTTTAGGGTTATTGGTTGCATTTGAAGCATTAAGTTTTACTTCCAATCAAAGTTAGGATGTTAAGAAATCAGACAATGCAAAAGCAATTAATTGATATTCCCAAAGTTATGGTCTTGACTGGTCTTGAAATAAAATCCCGAGTCCTCAATGTCCGAGACCGAGACAAGAACATCAAAAAGCACTAGTCAGGAAATACAAAACTAATGAGAGAAATATCAAAGATTACTTAGTTGGAATACTTCATAATATATTGTATTGAAGTACATACAATAATCCCAAAAATGATCTTCTAAAACATGAAAATAGTATTTAAATTCAACTTAAATCAGCTCTAATCGATATTTTTATGCTTAAAATTGGATCTGTGTTAAGCAGAAGGTGTCGCTCGTAGTGTAAACTCCACAGAATTTTCACGCAGCCAGATATGAATGTTGAGCGCCCTGGACTTTTCACTGGGTTATTCTGTGGTTGACCTGAAGTGTATTCTTGTTCTGGATGGCTTAATGTTGGTAGGCTAAATTGTTATTGTTAATGTTTTAGGTATTTCACTGAGGACAATGCATTCATACCAAATGAAAGATTCGCTGTCTGTATAATTTAATATTTTGTGTTGAGAATGAGACAAAGTGATGTGTGTTTTTCAGAAATATGTTGCTGTAGGTGAACTGGGGAAAGCAACGGATACTCTTGATGCCACTGGAAGTGTGATTCTGGAGAAAGACTATGGTAAATACTGAAGTACGAATTGCATTATTTCATATGAACAGTTAATCCTATTCAGCAGTCTAATCTCTGTGTGCATGCCTCCCTTTCTGCAGTTTCTGTCTCTATTTATGAAGTTCTCCAGCACCGTGTCAGAAATCCCACTGTGGGGTCGTTTTAGATTAGATAATTATATGTCTGGAAAATATTCTTATATTATTCTTTACTAAGAATATGGCTGTATATGTCTGTATACAGCCATGAGGCTATGTTTTGTATGAAAAAAGTAGACCAAATTTATTAATAAATAACACTGTGGCTCAGCAACATGTTACGTGGCCACGCTACTTCAAAAAAGCCCTGCAATGAGTCAGAGTATTTGTTTTGTTTTCATATCATCACCATGGTCTTTTTGACTAATTAAATTGACAACAGTAGGCCTGTTGTGCCGTATTCACCAACGGAGGAACAGGCATTGAAAAGTTTGAAGATAGGTGTATTGGATATTCTTTATGGCTCAGAAAGTTGTGCTCAGTCTCGGATACAATTGCCAGACTAATGCTTGCGGCTAAGGAAAGGGTGAGTAGATGAGGCATTTTTCTGCCATTTGGACCTTTGAAGTTAACTTGAGGATCCGCATTTAGAAATAATTGGAGTTGGTCTTCTTGTCTTTTTATGAAACGGGTTGGGATATGCACTACAGCCGTCAAACCATTCAATCGGGCTCGCAGCCTACAGCTCCCTAGGCTATGGTTTTAGTTTCGCTACATCCTGCCTGATTGGTACTGTGCATGTGCAACTCTCAACAGAGATGGGAAGGAAGCGAGATGGCCATTGATATAAAATATCTAATATTGATTTTATATCTATGGCAAAGGCTCTCTCGCTAGCAGTATGTGGGCAGCCATATACCTCACAAGTATTCATGTTACAACTTGGGTTGATTGGGAAGAAGCTATTTCAGAGGCTCTAAAGTGGCACTAAATGCTGGCTTAAACATCATTATTAACCCTCAAAGATCTACAGAGCACTGGCTGAGCCCTTATCCTGTTTTTCAGGGAAGATGTGCTGTAGTATGCAAAATCTTTAGACGTGTGTGGAAAAATGTTGCCATTTCCGTTTATTGTTTCATCCTACATGTTGAATTGGCTTCAATTAGCACCTGTGTGAAATAATTGTTTAATCATTCAACTGACAAAATGCCTACAAAATCCCTGACTTTGTGCAAGTGTACCTAGACGAATTGATGCTGTTTTGAAGGCATAGGGTGGTCACACCAAAAATTGATTTGATATAGATTCATTTCATTCACTTAGCATTTTGTTAACTCATAAATATATTCTATTAACAGGTCTTTTTTGTGAATGCATTCTCACTTTACATCATTTATGCCCACCTGAAACCTTTTGCCTACAGAACACATAACTAGGTTGGACCTTGAGGACAAGCTGAAAGCTTTCACTGGTGACATCATGCAAGTTCCTCCACTGTGAGTAAAAGCTCCAATCTGAGAAAATATTGTGTATGTCAAAGAAACTTTTCTAACTTGGCTCATCCGGTCAAAGTCTCCATTCACACACACAATACAAACCTAATTAGCAGAAAGCTATGAAATGTATTGTGCATATTCATGCTCATCAGTTTTTCTGTTGCACCACCCTCAGGATATTTTGTCAATTTACTGTACATAGAAAGTTGGAAAAGGCCTTTGGAATTTGGTGATTCCATAATCTGGGCCCTTATTTTTCAGTTTCTACTTTCTGCTTTGATTTGAGTACAGGGTAGCTCCAGAGGTGTCTTTAGTCTGCCTTAAAGGCCTTTTCACATGGAGTGTGTTATGAATAAACTGGACAAATATGTGAATATATGTGCTTGCAAAATTGTTACAAATAACAAACCATTGTACCAAATCATAGTGTTCAAGTATTTGTCTACCATGACTCAAACTCAAAACAGTTTCCCCCATTATTTAAGTTTTGCTCTAAGATATAGCTATATCAGCCATGCATGTCAGTGGACAGGGAAGACAAGCTCATACCATGTCTGGAGGCCCTGTACGTGTGCTGAAATTATTTTAGTCTACAGTCTACGGAGACTTTGGCAACTGCTCATGATTTATTGGCTCCTTGTGTACTGGTGTAGTACCTGTGCACCTTTTGTGGACTGCAAACTGGGTCTAAAGCAAAACATATACTGACTCCAGCTTCTCAACTGTGACTATTTGTTTGTTTTCTTAGTATTCCATGAGAGTAAACTGGATATCTTTGAGTTTAAGACCGCTGGTTGGACACAACAAGACTTTTCCATTAAGAGTACAGTACAGAGTAAATCTCTACATTGGTGCACACTCCAATTCAAAGTCTATGAGTTGGAATTTCTGAGGCCAGATTAAAGAGATCTAGCACATCTGAACACAAGCCTGACCTGTGCAGCCCATTTTTTGCCCTTATGGAGGGTGATGTATACTGAAGTGACTGCACAGGGTGCACTATGTTTTTCATAAGGTAATTTGCACAGAATTTGCATACAGCCAATGTCGTAAGAACTTACCTTGTAAAACCTTGTGAACGGATAACAGATGCTCCATTACTGAGCCTGAATACGTGTAGACCTCACAAGATGTTATCTTTCAAAACCTATATGCAAAGCCTGTGTTTCTTGCCATAACGGCTAGATACATCTCAAAAACAGGGTGACACTGCCAGCCAGTGCAGTTTCTTTTTTGAAAGGCCAGATTTGCCTTCATAAAACGAGAACAATGCATTCAGCGGGAGTCAGGGTTAGGGGTTTATCGGCATTTAGCAGTGAAGTTGATTGCAACCAAATGAATACCCCTCCCCTCACTCTTCTCTTCCAAGAGTGTTAGAGAATCTACGGTGTCCAAAAAACCTGCCAAAAAATATGAAAGGCCCACTGTAGAGCCAGTGTTTGGTTTGTCCGTTCTGGGCTACTGTTGAAAAATTGCAGTTCAACATGGTGGAGAGAAGACCTCCCTGGGCTCATTTAAGCTTCTAAAACACATTGATCCTTAGTTTGAGGTGATACACTTGTGAAAACATACTTCTGCCAATAGATCCCCCTCAATCTTACACACTGGGCCTTTTTAAATGCTGAAGATATTGAAGATTTCACACACATGAATTTACTCTCAAATCTAAACTATAAAGGTTTTGGCAGAGTAATTGGTGTTCGGGTAACCTAATAGTAGTAAGGATTTTTAACTCCCACTTTTTTCATAATGGTGCAGTGAACCTTGCAGCCTTTAGAGTTGTATTGTGCACCTGTCACTTATGGCTGGGCCAATGTAAACCTTTTCAAACTGGACTGATATTAAGCAAAAGACCAGTATACTGAATTTTACCACTAGGGGTCACATGTGACTCAGCTACTCCTGAGTGCAGAATCATGAGATCTCATGAATGAGTTTTCCACAACATTGTTCCTGCAAATGTTTCACAGTCAACGTCTTATTAAGAAATGAAGGAATGTTAAAAACTAATTAAAACTAAACTGAAATTAAAAAAAAAATAAAAGTCAAAACAAAATAAAAATTAAACTAATGACAAATTCAAAACTATAATAACCTTGGTGGCTGATCCGAAAAATGATCTGATCTGTGACTCAAAACCATGATATGATCCGAACTGTGAGTTTTGTGATTTGTTGCATCCCTGCCCTTTGGGCAAACCCCTCCGACGCATACTAAAACAAATTTTAGTTTGCAGCCCTGATCTCCTCAGGCAGGTCATTCTACAGTCTCGGAGCCCTAACTGCAAAGACAAAGGCACCCTTTCTGGATAAATCTGGACCTTGGAACAACCAGGAATGATGCATATGAGGATGTCAGGGAGCAGGAAGGAGCATAAGGCATTAAAATATCTTCTAAATAACATGGGCCTAGGCCACTCAAGTAATCAATTTTGTAAATCTATTCTCAAGGCAACAGGTAGCCAGGATCAGTGTGATGCGATCATGTTTCTTAGGCACTTGATCTAGGCAGACAGCCGGAAGTTGCAACATTTCACACTGAGGAAAATGGGAACTTGCTACTTTGTGGGAGGGATTTTGTGTATACTGCAAAAACTGAGCTCTCAAAAACAAGAGGGGAAAAAAGCATTAAAATGGGGGAAATATTACTTAAAATAAGCACTATTATCTGCCAACAGAACAAGAATATTTCCCTTGCTATTTAAGGCCAAAAAAACTTGAAACAAGTGAAATTCTCTTACATAAAAGCTGCCTGGTAAGAAGAAATATCTTGTCAGACAAAAAACAAGTATGTTTGGCCTTCAGTTAAGATAATTAATCTTACTAAGATTTTAGTTTTTTGCGGTGTGTGCATATCCAGTAAAAGTATGGTGTGATTTATTGATTTCCTGTCATTTCAGCTACTCCGCACTGAAAAAAGATGGCCAGCGTCTGTCTGTCCTGCTGAAGAAAGGTCACAAGGTTGAGGCCAAACCAGCCAGACCAGTCACTGTGTACAACCTGACCCTGCAAGAGTTCAAGCCTCCTCACTTCACTCTGGGTTAGCGCTCGCTGCGTAATGCGGCATTTTTTTCTTTCTGGTATTTACAATAGCCATTTAGATGTGATTTCCTGTTTCCATTTTCTTTCGTAGCACATATTCAAATAGTTAAAACAGTTTTATTTCTGTAACAGATATTGAGTGTGGTGGTGGCTTTTATGTCAGAAGCTTGGTGGATGACCTGGGAAAAGGTGAGATTAATTAATTCTATTTCTCAATATCTTCATCAGCATGTTTATGGAAAAGTCAATAAACAGAACAGACCCATCAGAAATCAAACCTTCGAACACTTAACCATGAGAATAATCACTGCCTGTGTGCCATAGCTCTGTCATCATGTGCTCACGTGAAGGAACTGATCCGGACCAAGCAGGGTCAGTTCACCCTTGAGGAGCATGCCTTACATGAGGAGCAGTGGACACTGGAGCGTATCCTGTTCTCTCTGCAGCCCTGCTCAGAGTCAGAGCAGGCTTTGGACTGTACAAAACCACCAGAAGCTGACACCTTAGGGACACACTCTGAGATCAAAATGAAAACCTGAAGTTTCTGTCTGGTTCACAGTTAGGCTTGAGTCACCTGCTTGGCTTTTCCAATGACGAGAACATCCAGTCTAAACACACCAGGTTCTCCAGGGCGTGTTGTTGAGCAAGTGTGACTAATTGAGACGTCACAAGCACTGATGGTTTGGAAATCAATGGACCAGTGTAATCACTCGGCGCTGGACTCTCTTCTAGTCCACATTCTACTGCATCGTCTCTGTCTCGAATCATTCTGCCCGGTTGATGGAAAGGTTATACAGTATACATACGTACTACAATTTACTACTACAGGAAAATGAGAAATGATACACTGTGTTAGTGAAGATTGCTTGACAGTGCACACCTTTTGAGACATTAAAGTCAAACAGACAGACTTATTAAACATTTGAGAAAAACATCACACTGCAGGATTTTCTGATTTATGCTGAAAACATTTAAAATATTAGTTTATTTTTGTATAATTTCTTTATTAAAGTAGTTTCTGTTTGCAGCCCAATTGTGGGAAATCTTTTTGATAGGCAGAAACAGTGTAAAAAAGAGTACTGCGGTAACATTTTGCCAGATCTCTGGTCTATTTTTGCAAGGCAAGTAACATATTAGCCAGTTTACCTGAAGATTTATTTGTGGAGCTGCCTTGCTGGTTAATTTAAAAAAGACATTTGACTGAGTGTTGAACTGTTTTAATTTTTTTTGTTTGGTGTACTCCACATCTGATAGTGTTCCATCAGCAGAAGTATATCCTGTATGTCTAATTTACATTATTATGCACTTGCAGAGTGAATAAATATAAACAAAAAAAGTAAATACTTAGATTTCTTGCCAATGATATTTCTGACATCATGCACAACAGAGTGGCTGCTGGTCATGACAAATCTGTTTCTTTACTACACATCGCTGTTAGCTTTTTCTGCCCATTACAATGCTGGCTGAGAGAGAAAACCTTAGGGCCTTCACAGTTAGCAACAAAAAAGTGTAAAGCATGGTTACCACAGCAGCTGTGTTTGCAACCGGGTGAAGGTATCCCCAGGAAGAGATTTTTTTTTTTTTTAATGTAGACATCTTTGTTCATATTTATAGTTTTCTTTTTACTTTCTTTGTTTCTTCATCTTTAAGCAAACTGTTTGAAATGACAAAGCTACCTTCACTGCCTTATGTCTGTAATCAAGTACAGGAGAGGAATAGAGGAAAATGGTATTAGTGCATACTTATAATATATCCACCAGGTGGAGAGGTTTTTATTAGGCTGTACCATGAAACCAGACTGCTGTAGTCCATATTGCAGATATTAATGGTGCTAGGCTAAAATATGAATGGAAGACCATTCCCTCCAGGAAAAACTAAAATGATTAAAAAGCTGCATTCTACTACTTTTTTAAAGTCCAAATTAGTTATAAATTATTAGTTATTGTAGGATTTTTTTGTAGTCATACTGTATTTTTGTATCATAATTATGTCCTAGTAAGTCAAAAGTTTCATCTTATTTTCTTACAGGTTTTAACTTCATATCTCAAAATAAGGCAGTGATGACTGGCTGTCTTACATGTTTGAGTTATTAAATATTTAGTACTTTGTCAAAAGTGGGTTAAATCAATCAAAGTTATGGTTTAAGCCAAAATCTTGACTTGTTATCTCTCAACACAGTATAAGGTGACATAAAGGCCCTGCACCCCCTCGCAGGGTTTTTCAGTTACTCATTCTAGTTACCCCTCCAGGGAGGTGTAACTTCGGTGGAGCCTTGTTCGTGAAGTCACCGAACTCGAGGAACTAATAACAGTTATGACTGTAAATTGTCCAGCAGGTACAAAAAAGCTTAAAGCGAAATGAGGGAGCTGTCATTCAAGTACAGTCTGTACACCCGCTCACAGACTTGAGTAGAGGTCTAATCAGTAATCAGGGTGCACTCACATCTTTCTTGTCCATGTACAAAGTTAAAACTATAACTGTTAAAAAATGTTGGCCAATGGAGTTTTGTTTGGGAAACAGCTGGTCCATCCGGATAATCTGAGCTGAGAAAGGATCCTTAGTTTATTACTTTGTTTTCTCCCGTATTACAATCAGCAAAACACTGCGCTTGTATTCACAGAATAGTTAAGTGCTGTCATGAATATTTGGATAATGTTCAGCCGTAAGCAGGAGACACCGTGTTGAATTGTTCACAGTAACTGCCAGGCTGTGGCGCCTCTGCTGAGAAGTTATCAATCGTTTTTGGACAGGAGTCTGACGCCGCGGGAAGCTAGCTGGATCAATGAGCAGCAATCATTGTCACAGTCCAAATATTAGCCGTGTGGTGATTTCTTTCATGTCTTCAAGGCTACTCATATCCCTGTTTGCTCTCTGAGTCCACTTTATCTAAATTACGGCCGTTAGAAAGTTGGCAGCGGCGCGCGCTTTAAAGACGCATCAGAGGACCGAACCATTGGATTCTATTAGCTCGAGCATTATCAGTGAGCAGCAACAGGCTTCCTCCCAACACTGAAGCGTGACTTGTAACCATATCATCACTGAAGTCACCTGTGGTAATAAAACATGTAGATAATCACGAGACGTCCAGCTGGAGCCTTCAGAAGCAGAGGCAGCTTTTCCGTTTGTGGTGTAACAGAAGTTGTCGGTTATTGTTTAACAATTTGCGGAAACGCGTGTGAGGGGCTAAGCATGCTATTAGAGCCATTAAAGGGATTTGCATTTACAGCCGTTATCATACTATATTAACTCAACTACATTGATATGTGAAATGCACAGGAAAACTCCAAACATTCAAATGATGAGTTAATCACTCGCCATTCAGCTGCACCGTTAGGGATGTGGATTGCAGTACCTTGTAATACATTACCAAAGATAACCAAACTGTTTGATTAGTCAAAGACCCATTTAACTAAAACCAGGGCCATGGCTCAAACACTGAGATCATGGCGTCTGGATTTATTTTTTAAGAATTTGAGGGTTTTCTGGTCCATTGTAGAGGAAAGTATCATGCTGGGTATTTTACACATGGACTCCAGTATTTTAGACCACATTTGATTACATGTAGCCAAACAAAAAAAGAAATAGAGGATTCAGTATTTCCCCACCGAAACTGCATCTCTGACAGTGTGAATAAACGTAGCAATTCATTCAGTTTAGGGTAGGGTACAGAAACTCAGGAAATAGTCTGACTGTAACTAATATAAAGGCATGATAGAAGGTGAAGAAATACAAACTACAGGTCACACTGATAATAAAATCCAAGTATACAACATCCATTCATATTTTATATATGTATTTATTTAGTTTTAACCAGTATGGCAATAGGGGCTACATACTGTCAGTGAGTGTGTGGTTTGAGGAGGCGGCCCTAACACTCAACAACAGTGTGAGAAAATGTTAAGAGGAGTCAAGAAGTATGACTTTTATGTTCAGTTTCCATGCCTGTGTGGGTGTGCCAACAGGAAAAGATAAATGAACAGGCCTAACGGGCACAGTGCCAGTGGCCGAAGGTGTCATGGGGCCCTTGAACAAGAGCCTCAGCATGAAGCGGCTTATTATTTCTGATCCTTTAATACTGGGTATCTGCTGATACAGTCTTTCCCTATTTGTGTTAATTTTTCCCAAATACACCAGGACAGTCAATGCATTCTACATTATTACAGTTATGTTTAACAGCCTATGCTCTGCTTTAAGAAAACAAAACCTGTATCACAGTTTTTCTGTGAAGAGATCCGCTGTGGCCAAAAGCTTTGGAGAGAATTTAGGCAACCTCTCTCCCTTAATTCCAGCTTGAACAAAATAGTTTTAACCGAACTTAAGAATTAACCGGCAAACTGCACACATTAATGCAGTAAAAATAACCCAGTAATATTGAAGACTGAAAGTTGCCATTATGCTTAACAAGTATACATTAAATATATTTTGCTGATGACACTTCTTACAGGTCAGATTTTAAATGCTGTAATTTTACTTGTAATTTATTATTTTTATATTCCAGTATTGCTTTTGGTAAATGGTCTGAATACTTGTTCCTCCTCTGAGTTTTACAAAGTACACAGTAGACTACCTACATGTAGGCTGCAAAACGTGTAGCCTACAATCACAGACTTCCAGTTGCATGACCAGTCTGGCTGGCAAAAGGCTCACAGAATAAGAAGACAAATTCACATATTTAGCCATTAGTAAATGACCTCCTGTCTGCTTACATATCTAATTTAAATCAATTGGAAATTTGGTGCAAGGAAGTTTGCATTTCACTTCCATCTATCTTCATCTCTTTTTGAATCTTTTTCAATAGGGAGATAGAATCTCGTATTTTTCATTGATTCGTTACTTTTTCATGAAACCTTTTAGGTGCCGATTGCTATTTGGACGTTTGTTTTTCGGTGAATATATAGACTACAACAATTTCTGCTTTCCAAAATGTACGATTAGTTGCAGTAACCCGGTTACACACTTCTTCTGCCTGTAGCGCTTTCTAGCAAGATAAATGCAATGATAACATTATTAGATACTCTTATTATTCTGATTTGGCCTATTTGATTAGGAACTACTTTATTAACACAAGCCTACGATTCGTGTCATCGCTGCACTATTATATCACTCAAACTAAAGATTTCGGTTTGCTGGTTTCCAGATGATTGGCTGCAGTGATCTGATTCTCTTGAAATACAATTATCTCTTCTCTCCTGTCATCTGATCACTGTGTGTCTCGACTGGAGCTGCTAGAAAGCCAATCAGAAACGGCTGCTGGCCACCTGCAGGAAGTTTGCCGTCCACTTATCTCCTCCCACCTCAGCCTGCAGCAAGATAACAGCCCCAACAGTTAGATCAAGTGCCAGCTAGTCCACCACAGCAACCTGATGGACACCCACACACTCTAACGATCTTCTCCGCAGCCCTGAATTACTTTCTATAGTGTGTTTCGGGTAGTCAGTGGACTCAAGTTTGCGCAGAAAGTTACAGTAGACATTTGGTAGTATGTAAAGAAGTTATTTTGAGATACTGTCGAAAAAGAGGAAGGCTGTAGGGAGAGAAAGGGGGACGCAGCCTTCTCAGTTCCAGCGCTCAGCGGCGGCAAAAGGCACCATGAGCGTTCCGCTTTACGCACCGACTCCCATCCAGCCGACTCACCCGACACCCTTCTACATCGAGGACATTCTGGGGAGGACTGCCACCACAACCTCTTCGTCCTCTCCCTCTTTTTCTTCATTCTCATCCACCTCCTCATTCTCCTCCTGCTCCGCTCCGGTCATCCCCACACCGACTCTTCCGTCGCCCAACTCCTCTTTCACAAGTCTCATCTCGCCGTACCGGACGCCGATTTATGAACCCACACCGATCCATCCGGCACTGTCTCACCATGCCGCTGCGGCGTTGACGGCAACGTACGCCTCCGCCGGGACTTTGGCAGGCTCCATCTACCCCTTCCACCACCAGCACCGCTCCATGGGGGAGTACGCACAGGCGCTGCTGAGGCACGACCCTCTCGGTAAGTTGGGCTACTGTGCGTAAAACCGCTTAGAAGTTTAATTTTGGACTCACATATTCTTTGTTCTTTACAATGAATGTAATTTACAGAATCACCCGGGACTATCGTGGTTTTTGTTTCCATGTGTGTCAAAGCTGTAGACTGTTGGCCCAATGACATTGTAAACATCTGTAGTGCTTCTGAAACTTTTTTTCCCCAAAAGTTTTGCATGTTGCATTTCGATCATTCCTTATTGTGCACCAAATTATCTTTTTTGTGTGTCATGAACTTTGTCCATTTCAGCTCAAGAGAAATCAAACTGGATGATGTGGCAATAGGAGCACTTTTTACTCTTGAAAACGCTCCTGTC